TGTGCATGTGATCTATGTAAGACGCAACGCAAACAATGCGTCGAAACCCTTTCGGGTCACTTGCAACGCAAAAGCTCTGTCGTCGTCTTCGTTCCTACAACACGACTAGACCGCATTGCGCCTAACGAACCCACCGAATTAGATACGCGAAACTCTGTCGCCGCCGCCGCCGGGCTCGTTTTATTTAACGCCAAACGGGGTCGTGTTTGTTTTGTAGAAAACTTCGGTGCCGTTAAAGTCGCTGTCGGGCGTGAGCGTTGTAGACGTCACGACGTGTCTTTGCGCATATTATATACTTATACTTGTGCCCTGTCGTCGAGACATGTCACCGAACATTATAATCGGCTGAGCATTATAGCAGTATCACAATTATACCACTACCGCGGTTGTCGGACCAAACATTGTCGCCGAGTTCGCGCAACCTCGTGGTTCTGTGCGTACGAACTGCCACACGACGCGCGATTTGCAGATTGCCGTCGCCCCGGTCGCAAACACAAGATTTTCAATTTCTTTCCTCAATAAAATCGCATACACTCGAAGATCGATAACTTGAATTGTTTTCTTGTCTATTGAATTTTTCGCAAGTCGTGTCGTTTCGTAATATGTGACTTAAAAATACATAAGTAGAATTTATTTTTAATCCCCTCGAGATTCGAGTTACCGCACTCGACTGCGTATATTCACTAATAATTAGACATCTAATAACATGCACAACAATTAGACACATCGATAGTAAACAAAATGTAATTTGTAGATGAAAAAAAAAATGCAAATTATGTGATTATAACGTTATACTTATATATATATAGACGTTTTGTAATTCAAAAATAATTATGTGATTATATATATACTCGTTAAATGAATGTGTATTCAAACGGATGACTTACATACATCATTTTTTTGCGCTTCTTGCATTACAATTTTTCACTGAGCCACAACAATCTTCAATGTTAATAATGCCCATATATATTTATGAGATCCAATGTGAGTATAATATAATCTGGTGATGATCGGATAACGATTATAATAATATTATGCCAGTCTCGACGGCGCTAAGAATAAGCCACCACCCTCCGCGCCGATGGCACTCTATTTTAAATCACTAGACCGTTTAGAGTTTTAACACACACACACACACACACACACACACACACACACACACACACACACACACACACACACACACACACACACACACACACACACACCCCCGTGTATAATACGAAACCCTCCGCGGAAATACAGTAATAATTTATTTTCGTCACATCCCGCGCGTTTTGAATCAAAGGGCGAGAATCGTTTAGGATTCGTGTCGGTGGCCCACGCGTACCTACTAAAAATCGTTTATATAGTTTATCAACCTTTGGATTGCCCACTACTATTGTATACGATCTCGTCTTATTCGAGTCGTGTTATTTCTGTCTTTATTCTCGCATCGTCGTTCAATGTAATCACTTGGTCCACTGCAACGCCCGTCGTCGCCAAGTCGATGGCAGCGGTTGTAACGCACGTGTTTGAATTATTTTTGACGATTTTCGTTTACTTGTCGTTTTGAGCTGCCGGACATCGATAATTGAAGCCTTCAAGATGGACCCGCAGTCCCTCCGAAGTCCATTTACATTATTGACTGCACAATGCAATAATTCAGTACTGTCCGATGAAATACTGAAATTGTCGTGAACGATATTTTTTAATATAGTGCATGCGACTCTGTCTTGAACCTTAGTCATGATTAATAAACCATTATTAAATGCATTCATTACTAATATAGTAATATACATACTACTCTGTGTATATTATGTGTACCTATGTGTTTCAACGGAGATATATTATTACATAGATATTTTAGTTTTAACATTTCATTAACGTTTAGTGTTTTGTTATTTTGTTTGCGTAATTTTAATTGGCATCGACGCATCAGTCGTCATTCATTTGATAGCTTTTCTTTCAAAAAAAAAAATCATTGGGTCTAATATTCCAATAAATTTAATTACGTGACCCAATTACAAACGATTTTCTGGCGTAACGGGATCTAGAAGGTTACGGCTGTGATCTGAAAGGTTTTTCTCTCAAATATTCAAATATTTTATTTTATTTTTTTTTATTGAAACACAAAAAAAGGTGGAAGTTGTTAGTATCTATATGAATATAAATATAAATTGTAGGTACCCACTTGCTTCCAACATTGAACATTTATACTTAACATTGTTTTGTATCAAAAAGCAGTTTTTAATAACCTAATTTTGTTTATTTTCAGTGTATTATGAACATTATTTTGTTATTTCTTAATTGTATTACACTTTGTACACTATACTATAAACAATTGTAATTGCATTGATAATTCAATTCTGCTTTGTTTTTAATCACCAATATTTTTTTTTACATTTATTTAAATTTTTGTTTTTGTTGTTATAATTCGATTTTTTAAGATTGAAATATTAGTAAACAATGTTTATAATTATTTAATATGTATTATAATACAATTAGTTAATTTATAACAATTTTGAATTTAAATAAAATGTCAATATTTTATTCGTACCAAAACAAAGTTTTTAAGTGTTATTAATACTATATAGTAATTACCGGGCCTATTAAAATAATAAAATATGTAGGTATTTATACATTTAACATTTTTAAACACCAATAAGGCCATAAAAATGAGATATTTAAAAATATCTTACAAATCAGGAATATTTATGTACCTTTTTTTATACATAAATCATAACTATATGCCATAATATATTGTACTTCTTTAATTTGCATTCAAAATATTACGTAGTAGTGTTAATTATGTTAACAAATGAACAATAAATTATAACATGGAATTATTTAAATTTAAATTTTTAACTGCATATATTTTTAAATATTTTTCAGAAAATCTACACAGATTTTTAAACTAGGGACATAGCAATTTCAGTCTGTTTAAATATTAATGAATTTTTGAGTGTCTCAAAATCAAATGAGTTGTAATATTATGTGCCCAACATTTTATAGATATATATTTTTTTTTATTATAAAAATTAAAGAATAATGTTTTAACTTAAAATGATAGAGTAAATTCTTTTCGTCTTAACTATTTCCACAAATTATAATTAATTATTAAATCAAACTAGGAATAATATCGACACACTAAAAAAATACAAAAAAAAAATAGTTCTTCAAGTACCATTTGTGATAACATAAACCTTACATAAAAGTTTTAAGCATATTATCTTTGTATATTACATATGTATTTCGTAAGACAGCACACCCTCTAAAAAGTAATTACATATAAAACTAAAAAAAAAAGAACACTTCATTGTAAAATCTATAGATTTCGTGCGCCACTAAGATTCTCAAACTTTGTATGTCTCCAAAAACTAAAACTAATCAACAGAAAACAACAGTTAACTTTTAAACCGATGTCTAAGTTTCTTATTATTTTACTTTCAGTACTTTGTAAACGTTGTAACCGATAGAGATAGAAGTTTTATTTTTTAGAAATTTGTATTACAATATTTTACAAAGATTTTTTTCGTCCAATTACGACACAGTTCATTCACAATAAGTATAAGCAAAATATAATGTTTATTAGTTACATATTAAATAATTGTGATGTTCATTTTTACTACGGTTCACAAAATGTATTGTACTGTTTTTTTATTTATCAATTCGAAAAAAAAACCAATAGGTTGATAACATAATGAGAAATAAATTTAATTATATTTTAAATGTCAGCGACAGTCTCTCTTAGTTTAGTTAATTATTTTACACACAGTTTGTCTTTGTATATACCACTGTTTCTTCGTTGTTTAGTTTGAAAAACCTTGAAATGTCTCTGATCGAAATATGACGGTTTAGACAAATTACCGTGTCCATTTTTGGACATTTTCGAATGGTTTACTATTTGTTATTACTTGTGTTACGTCAAACTTGCCTGCAGCCACAGTTTTCGGTCCTAATTTATAGCCAATCAGCAGTTTCGGATAAAAGGGTTCATATTTTACCGGTTATCAGATTTTTGCTGATGTCAGTTCGTCACAAATTGTTGTGTATTATTGATTTTTGGTTATGTTTCCTTGATCTAAACTTTCTTCATAATCCAAGACATTGACTGCATACATTTTCGTTCTTATTTTGAACTATTTAGAGATTTAAAATTGTGTATTATTATTTATGCAGAATTTTTAAAATTATATCATACATATCGGTAAATAATAATTCATAAGAATGTTAAAACTAATCAAAGGTCATAAAACATTTGAAGTTCATTTATTATAATTAATGTTTGTATACTTATACTGATCATGAAACAAACGTTTTCTCGTTAGTCTTGTGTTATACACTACTACAGATTTTTAAATGCACCTACCTTTTTTATTGAAAAATTATTTTACATTTTTATCGTTGAAAATAAATTATCAGTGTTCAAAAGCTTTTTACACAACATGTCTGTAAGAAAAACAATGTGATATTATATTTTCTCCCGGAATATTTTACACTTATAACTATAAAAATATTAAAGGTAAATAATATAAAAGTGTACTTATCCATTTGACTAACTTGAATTTCAAGACTACAGTAATAATAATAATAATAATAATATGACCAATTTGTTGCATACTTATTTTTTTAAACATTTGTTATGACTTAGGTATTCACGTATTAAAGTAGAGTTCACGTTATAAAATATTTTATTACAATTTTTAGAACATTATTCAACGAATGAAAAAGATTACCAATTTTAAATATAAAGTAGGCAGTCATCAACCTGTACTCAGAGTTAATATACCTATTACCTTCTACATTATATATTCACTTAACCGTAAGCTAGTCTGCAAGATTTATTTCTAAATATTTTAAATTGTAAAAATGTACGTTCAATGCAAAAAAACGGCATTTTCTAATGTTGTTAGTAGTGTGAAAAGATAAAATGTACTCCCAAAGTTAATCTACAACTGGAATATCACTGTACAGTAAATGTTTAGCAAACAAATATTAAATTTTTGATCATTTTTCAGACGAACATGATCTTCAAACTGCCATTAAAGTTCCGTTCGAGGACCCACAACTATATTTTGACAGCGGGGAGGACGGTTTTCCAGCATTTGGTATTAAACCTGGATCTGATATAAAATCACCATATCGATTATTCCTTCCAGAAAAATTGTACTCTGAGTTCTCCATCGTGGTTAATTTCAAACTAAATTCTATGGATGGTGGTTTTTTGTTTGCCGTTGTCAATCCTTTAGAAAACGTAAGTATATGGCATATAAATACCTATATAAATTATAAAGCAAAATTGTTATCATTTTATCAGTATTTTACATTATTCTAATACTTAAATAAATCTAATTAGGTCAGTAAAAGAGAAATCCAGGATTTTAATTTTTGAAATATTCTGTACACATGACTTGCTAGTTGCTATATAATAAAATGATAATAGGTATAATAACTAATTTTGTTTAATGTGGACAAGAATTAATTTTTAAAATAAAGTTTCCCAATAAATATGGGGTTTTTGCATATTTTCTTTATTATAATGTGTCACTTATCACATTTTGAAGCAAAAAAAAAAAAAAATACTACCATATTGAAATTTGAGGTTGTTTCTTGTAGACAGTTTGATCTATAATTGATTCTTTAACGGTTTAACGAAATTAGATAAAAACAAGAAAAACTCAACAGGTTTTGTTGTTATTTTTTACTTAAAAAATATCACAAATACATTCGCACACATTTTATTTAGTCATTTTGAAATAAAATGTTAATTAAAATGAATATATAAATGAAAAATAACGATTTTAGTTATTTTTTTTGTAACTGTTTACCATTATTACCATACTATATTTATATTTCCAACATTATTGAAATGTCCATTAATTTAGTCTAATTTTAAGCTATTTATACAACTACACTAAGAACCTTTACATACAGTATCGTGAATCGTGATATGTCAGTATTGATTTCTACGTTAATGACAATAATATAGGATATTATTACATTATATTTCATAATAATATCTATATAAAAATATTATATGATAATATTATAGGTACCTAAAAATTATTATACAATACATTTGATGTTTTTGCTAATGCTAGACCGTATTACTAGTAACTTATCATTCATAACTAGGGCTGTAAATTTAATGCACTGAAGAACCTTAAAAAATGCATTAAAAATTTCAAAAAAATGCAATAAAATAATCACTTAAAATGCAAAAAATGCAATATAAAATACCAAAAATTAAAGTATAAAAATCATTTAAAATGGTTTTTAATTTAATTTTTATATTTATATTAATATTAGGTACAAGTAACTATACATTGGCACATTACATGCATAAAAAAGTGTTTATTAAATAAAAAAAAATTAGTAAAAATGTTGATTGAATTTGAATTTTCTATACTTAATGCTATTTACATGAAACATTTTTTAAAAACTTAAAAAATAAATAACTTACAACGAACTTATATAGTTATTTAGCAATAGCCTCATTTTATCAACGTATATAGCCTGTGTTCAAAGACAAATATTTTTTCAAACATGTTTTCCGTCAATTGACGGAATTCAATTAAAAATACTGAAAAATGAACTAAGAAAGCAAAATATGACCTAAAAATTCCCAAAAATAACCCAAACAATTAAAAATGTAAAAAAATGCAAAATAAAAGTTGCGTAAATGAAATAATAGTTACATAATTCAAATTATGTACTTACAAAGCTACGTTTCACAATCACCAAAAAAAATGCACTCTCCTACAAATTCACAGCCCTATTCATAACACTAAAAATGTATAAAAATATCATTAGATATGTAGGATAACAGAATGTATCCGATCAAAATCGTTTTTCGTATTCAATGCTATCATATTATTGTATTAAAATTTAAAACGTCCATTACAATAACCTACTCATGACAAAGTACACTTAAAATCTACTATACAAAATAGTGACTTCACACTTTTTTTAAAATTAATAAGACTTTGTTTCAATATTATTTAAGTAAAATAGTACATTAAACATTTCTTTTTCTTAGAAAATATAATCAAAATTCCATATGTTTAATACACATGTCTATAACCTATATACTATTCATCGAAAAGTAATACTAAAATTTCGAACTGGTTTCTAACTCTAGATTATTAGTATATTTAATTGAGTGGAGTTACTGTGTAATATTGTAAGCAACTAAAAGTGTTCATCAGAGAATGTATAACAAAGTTATTTTATTTTTAGTAAAAATAAAAAGTTTTATGGATAAATTTAATTGATATCATATTAACATATTATGCTGTTATAAGTACCTACATGTACAGTGTACACAAATTTAATACATACTAATCACTTACCATTTTAGTAATACAAACATTTTGCATATAATTAAAAGAAAAAAGTTAGATTTTACATTTTAGATTTTATATTTACCTTTACTATTAATTTGTAACCAGTAGATTTCTTAGAATGAAATTACACAGTTAATAAAATGATAAATAAACTTTGTATGATATTGAACTATTAATGATAGTACATCATTTATCCTTGTTTACATGCCCAATCAAAAACGAGAATAGAACAATTTTCAGTATTATTTAAATATTGTTTTTCAATTTATCTATGTACAGTAAAAAAAAAAAAACAATTTTTATACTCTTAATAAAAATAATAACATTTAAAAATGTGTATATAATTTTATGTTTTATACGAGTTTTATTTGAAGAAAAATTCAATAAAGAACTATGTAACCATTTTTTAAATGTTTACACTTAAAATTTGTTTAATATCAATACAGTATATTAAAACATAAAAATAATTTCATTCTTAACAGTTTTTGATTCTGTGTTTCAAAAAAATTTTCTCAAAACAAAAATTTTGGTTTGGAATTGTAATTGGCAATATTTAAAATAAAATAATATACTGATTTGACCTCACAACTTAAAAAAGTAACAAATATTTAGAAATTACTCGTATTGTGTCTTACTCTTGTTGGATTTGCATTTATTTTATCGATACTTGTTTGTATTTAAATGAAATATTAGAAGTTTTAAATACCAGTTTTGCGCAGTCTTTGACAGATGAAACATCACGGTTGTTCATCTGATATTTCGTTAGAAACAGTTAATTTCTTGATGTCAAGAATTTCTAACCAGCTTTGATTTTCGTCCTCTAAAATTCCGAAATTCCTAAATTCCTGATTTGTCCACCAAAATATTATTTTAGCGTAAGTGAATGATGTCTGTTTTAATAAAATATCCACCAGAAAGATAATATTATAACTAACAAGTTCCTGGATGAATATTATGATTAGTTGTCATGTACTGATGAAATATTAATTTCAATTATTTGTGTACCTAGCTAAAAAATATGGTTTGATTCGTTTTTTATTAAATATTTTTTTATCATTTTAATATGTTTAATAATTAGATAAAAGTTATAAGGTTGACAGCTTATACAATTTTTATTAAGATCTAATGCAGAATATTAAATAATATGGTAGTCAAATTTTTGTTTTTATTTGCATTTAATTTAGATTGAGATTTTAAGTAAAGCTTTGTTTGTTGACAACAAGATAAAATAAAATTGTCAAATATTATACATAATATGTTGTTATCAAACATTCGTAAGTACCATTAATTTGTCATCTCTATGTATTTATAATACATTTTTAAAAATATACTTCAAATGTTTATGAATGTCATTAAGAAACTAAAAGCTACGGTGTTGAAAATTGAACATAAAAAAACGAAAATATTTTTTTGTTATAGAAGGTAGTCAGTAATTCATTTGTCAGTTTTTTATTAAATAATTTCTGAGATAAAATGATTGGAATAAAATAATACATTTAAGAATAACGAAAAAATAAATGGTCCATGAAATTAACAATTTAGAAAAATCGTGGAAATGCGTATTTTTAATAATTGTAAGCAATTTATTTAGACGATAACAACGTTACACATAACAAAAAAGTATATGGTGCATAAATAATTGTATTATTATCTTAATAATCATGTTAAATAAGTACAATTTGAAAACATTAATAAAAATAAAATGGTAAAAAAATAATAATTGTATACTATAATGCTCGAAGTTAATGCGCAATTTGATGAAGTATGTTTATTGTATCAAAGTACAAGTACATGCGAAATTGCGGAATTATTAAATTTGTTAGTTTGATATTATTATAAAACTATGCAAAGTTCTTCACAGAACAGTATTTGATATAATTTATAACAATAAATGATAATCATTTGACTTCTGATTCCTGATGATTAGCCGCATATTTCAGATTATGATTTCGATTATAAATGTATACATATATATACTTAATATCAAAATGAATGAATAAATGTATTTTGGCTGAAATAATCTGTTAAAAGTTTAAAATACACGTATGCCTATCAAATTTTTGAATAAAACAGTACTAAGTATTATTAAATAATTGGGAATTAATTATTTCGTTTAATGGAATACAATATATACCAATTTGCGTTATATTTTGTTTAATGATACATCATATATTTTGTTAAACGTTACGTTTTGTTTTATGTTATTTATTTATTTACGTTTATCGTTTTCCGTTATAATTACGTTTACAAATTTCAATCGTTTTTTATCAAATATAACGTTATAATCATAACGTTATTATAACGTTTGCAAGCCCTGATAAAACATCTATGAGCCATGAGGTACAAATATCGTCGAAAAAAAAAAATATAACAATATAATATTAGTATGACGCAATATCGAGGAATCGAGATCACATAATAATAATATCATAATATAATATCCAAAATCGATTCCTATGTCCGCCGTTTCTCATCGTTACTCTCGCGTGTTGCAGGTGGTACAGTTGGGCGTGCAGGTCGTACCGTCGTCGTCGAGCGCTATGAACGTGAGCTTTCTGTACACGGATGTGAACAAATACTCGTCGTCGTCAAACGTCTTGGCCACGTTTTCGGTTCCGTGGAAGATTCGGAAGTACATACGGCTGGGCTTGAAGGTGACCAGAGAGTACGTGCGGTTGTTCGCCAGGTGTTTGGGACCACAAACCGTGATGGTGGTCAGGGATCCGGTGGAACTGTTGTTCGACTCGGCGTCCACGTTGTACATTGGCCAGGCGGGACCGCTGATCAAAGGGCCGTTCGACGTGAGTTCTTTTACGATAATGTTATGCGACCGGTAATGTTTTGATATTTATCGTACGCAGATATTAAATTCAAAAGGTACACAGCGCGCTGCTTCCAAGTGCTCTAACCCACCTACCAACCCACCCGTATACCCCTCACGTCCACGTGCCGAAACCCACGTATACATATTTTGACGTCTCGCCGATGTTACAATCGCTGTACCTACAAATATTGCACACGAACGAAACTCTGTGTCGAGTTTTATTATAATAATATAGTAAGTTGTCGTCGGCCTAACCGGCTGTGTTTCGGGAGTAGTTTACGATGGTCGTATAAAAGCAGCGACAACTGCTGTAGAGAAATATTTGGGAAAGCTCGCGAGCTTCAAGACGGTCGCTCAAAGCGTACACGAATCAAAATTATGGTAACTTTTCCGAAGTATATTTTTGGGCGAGGTGCCGTTGTTTAAAAACACTTATCTCGTAAAATGGAATTTCTGAGCCGTTTTTGAGGGTTTTTAATCAAATTATTAATTTTGTTTATTTAACATAAAATCCATCTTGCCCAACGTATTTCGGCACATCACTCGAGAAGTCCGAAACTTTTACGCATCTATAGAAACCTATACAAATTGTGTACATAATAATATGCATATACATAGTATAAATTTGCATTTTATTTTTTAAGTGTTGGCGTCAGTACTAATATTTTAATGAAAAATAAAACTTGAAATAAACGAAATTTTCTTTTAAAACTTTTTCTATTCAAAAATGTTTTGACAGTTCACCAAATATACTTAGTTATTGTGTAATGAGCTGTATTAAAACTTAACAAAAACCGAATACATTTTCAAATGCAATAATAATAATACATATACGGATATTTTACGTTATATTATTATATTAACATTACGTTAGGCAAGATATTGAAAAAGTTCAACAAGAATCCATCTAACTTTTTAATCGTAAAATCATATTGAAATAAAATTACAAATCAAGTGTAGAAACAATATTTCGTTATAGATGTATTACGCAATATTACCATGTTTTTACTTAAAACCACTTATTATTTTGGTTTACCTTAGTACGGATTATTCAATTTGTATTCATATCAAATATGTTTATACAATATTAGTTTACCCTAAAGCCTAAGTGCATTTTTGGTGTGTTAGGTTGTGTATACTGTTTATTCATATTAAGTAATTTACCGCACTATATAATGTTAATAGTTCGTATTTTGTATGTATTTGTTTTGCATTCAATAAGAATCAAATCACATCGTCAGTTCGAATATTTTGACTATGCAAACAGCAATCATATCATTATATTATACTATTCTTTGAACAGTCTGAAATGTTCCCTTAACAATTTAAATTACAATCAAAGTTTTAGAAAACTTCATGATGAAGTTTCGCTATGAGTTCTAGAATATTATGCTCAAGAAATTATAATTAATATCCGTCGAGAAGTCGGTTGTCTGAAACAGTGATGTCGATCAAAACATTCCTCTGCGACCTATCGAGTATCTGATAGCTTAAATCAACTCTTAAATAATGCTGTATTTAACGGACATGGGAGTCCATAATTTCATTGTATAAAAATCATAATATAAATGGAGTGCAGAAACTTCTTCGACAACATAGACTGCACTTTGTATAAAGGGTGAAGGATAATCGGGCGAATTAAAATTAAATTTCAAAACGATCAAGCCGAAATGCTCGAAATCATAACAAGTTCTTAAATAACAACATCCTCGTCAGTTTTGAGTGGAAACCATAAGCCGAACGTGACCAAATCTACTGAAAATCGTACGATCGTAGTAACAAGTGGTTTACCATAGTCGACGGGATGGCGTGAACGTGCCCTAAGACCTGAGTCGTTGAGAATATTCGTGCTTTACAACCTCGGGGCAACAGTGCTTAAAGAAAAAAACAGTTATTTTACTATCACAATAATAGTGTAGTTATCAAATGGGAAAGTACTTGTTTCTTCCGTTTTTTTTTCTTTTTGAAGATTGCTACTTTTGTAAATAGTGTTGTTACAGCCTAAGTATGGATGAAACATAAGCCAAGGCTTATGATAATAACAATAATATAAAACCTATTATATAACAGTAATTGAAAACAACAAAAGATATACATATTATCTTCTTATTTACTTACTGGTACAACAGCACGTATTGCAATGAATCGGATGATAGTTAAATTCTGAAGACAGCAAATATTCGGTGACCGATGGTCGATATAAATATAAATTCGATAGTTAACGAACTAATGTGAACGCTAAAAAATTATAAATTATTATGTAGCCAAGCCATATTATGGTACATTGAAATGTGATTTAATCTAATCGCTTACACATAAAATAAAAGTCATTTTTATTGGTTTTATTTAAGTCGGTAATTGCAGAAGATCATGGCACCATTTCCTTTTAAACCTGTGCCTAGGATTTCCTGGGAGTGTAAGAGTAGAAAAGTTTTTGATAAGAGGATTCTGATGGGATATAAATCGCTTGTGAAAGCGCGAGTAAAAGAATTGTACTTCATCTTTATTTATGGTGTGCATATAAAAATCGTTATGTAAGGTTAGGTTTGAGACTTACGGTGGTATTATTGCGACAACATTTCGTGATTTTTTGTTATTCCTAAAAATCTCAATATTATCGATTGCTATACACAGTAATTTTATAATATTACAATAAATTGTATTTGTAGAATTATCCAACTACTGTCAAATACAAATGGCGAATACTTATACTATTTCGAAGTTTGGTACTCAATGTTCCGTATCGAAACCCAATAGAAAGACATGTAGAATACGAAATGTAGGTAGAATATACCCAAAAGTTTTTGTTAACAAGCAAATTTGGTGGTGTCACAATAGTTGTAATATACAAACTGAGCTTTTGTGAATTGCAGTAGCATTTGTACTCGTCATTATTTTACCCTTGTCTGGTTTTTAGATGTACTTTACTCATCAGATATAACAAAAAATGTATTTTGATTTGCATGTATTTTAACACTGATAATATATTACTAATTTTAATTAAGTCATAATCAAAGATACATTTTAATTAAGAATTTGAACTACATGATTTCTAAAATGCATAAGCAAGCGGCAATTTAGTTAACAAAGAAATGGCTACAAAAATAACTTGTCATATTATTATTCATAAGTTCGTATAATAAATGATAATATTCATGTAAGTACAATTATTTTCTTAACACGGCGCATTGTATATGCAATTTTAATACAACACGCGTACCAGCCTGGTTAGAATAATATTATTGTGGAATTAAAATTGTCAATTTACATATTATATGCCAAGTATTTTTGTTTATCTTTTTATGATTTATGGCTAGTATCTACTGTATTAAAATACTTAATCAAATTGATCTAAATGAGGTAATAATTATTACAATAATAATAATAGGACATAATCTGTGAATTGAATTGATTTCACGGGTTGTCAGTAATCACCGGTATGCTATCGCGGTATTTTAATATTAATTATATATCCATTTAAACTCTGACTTTACAATATTATATTATTCACAGACTGAGAAATTTTAACAAACGATTAAACACTATTTGTTGGGGGCAAACGCGACGTTTGTGCGTTACAAATGCCAATGTTATGAGAAAAGCGTGTAGTCGTATTTAAAATATAATTTTGAATAACTTTTGAGCAATAATACCAATATTTGAAAGTAAAAATTATTAAAATGAAGTTGCAACAATGTCATACAAATAACTGTTTGAAATTGTATTAACTATGTGTCATTGGTTGGTTCAAAACTCATGTTTTTTTCACTTTTACTTCCAAAATGTTTTTACTGTCAATATTTAGTACCCATATTATACAGTAAACATATTATAATGAATGTTGGAATTTTATTATGCTACACCTGTGCTGATGAAATATGTTTGTTAGTGTAATTTACAAATCGTCACTTACATCATCAGAACTTTTTGTATTTGGATGAGATTGCGGTACGATGTTGTAAGGTTTCTTAAATTTCGTTTTACTTGACTTCAGCCTTAATATTAAAATGGTAACTGACTCTTTTCTAACTTTTTATCAAGCCCATTTTATAATGTAGATACTTCTTCTTAGAACTATTATAGTCAACAATAATGTCGTTGTACATTGAGTTTAAATATAAATTAATTAATATAGAACTAAAATCATACTTTATGGATGCAATAAATTAAGTATAATATTGATAGATGTACGATAACGATGATACATTAGGAAGATACGAGTACGTATTATAATATTTGTTATGCGTCATCAAAAATCACTGGATACATAATTGAATATTTCATTTAACTATTTCACACCATTTATATTTTGATAAAAATAAAAAAATCAATGCGCCAATGAAATTCAGAACTTTTTTTAAACCTAAACATTCTAAATTATGTGTACCATATATTTTTTTGACTTTCAATCTTGTTTTTTTTTTTTTATCGATTTCTATCTATTATAATATTAAACATACAAAAATTACCTCCAAATCCCAAAGCCCCTCCCCCCCCCCTAAAAAAAATGGTTTGAGGTAAAAATACGACGAGGTCGATCATAATGTAAATCATAATATGTTTAATTTGTTAGTCTTTATCGTTTAGAAAAAATCAAATCGAATCGAATCGGGTTGGAAATAATATTGTATTTTAGGGTTTATTTCATACACGACGTGTAGTAGAATAACATAGTAGGTATCGCGAAAACCTCGTGCTGAATGGAAAATAATTCTTGTAGACGCAATTCATTCATTGGCCGGATGCCCGACGTCTTATTCGATTTGAAATATTCGGTTTGATTCATTTAGCAAACGCGGACTGTTTGCAATGGTTTTTTCTGTTTTATTTTTATTTTTTCATACCCGATTCGTTAGCAATCACAACCACGACGACAATGAACGGAAACGTACGTTTGCTTTTCCAGGACTTTTGCGAACTTTATACCGTCTACTTTTTGTCCTCAGCGTGTGTATCAATACAACCCACCACTATATATATATATATGATAGGCATATATGTTGATACAAAATAAACAAATATATATATATGATAGGCATATATGTTGATACAAAATAAACAAATATATATATATATATGCATATATTTTGGAAAGTTCGCCAAAGTCAAATACTCGCGGTGCTCGTGTAGGAGGTGACGTTATGCCCGCAGTGCAACTAGCCAAAAAGTTGAACTATACCTTTTCATCCCAAATCTTCCTGGAACGAAGGTTACAAAAAACCCGAATTCATGAACTATTAAGATCGTTCATTATGTACTCACTTGGCAGAATGATGAGCGTAGTATCATATATATTATATTTTTTTAATGTTGAATCCATTTATTTTAACTTGTCAATGGCCGATCTGTGAGACTAGAACACTAGTTCGAGTGTCTAAAAACACTTATTTGGTCGCGTTCGTTTTCGTTCAACCACAGTCCATCCATAGCTTTTCAGCTGTACATTCTTAATTCCTTATTTTAATAAAACATTATAAAACGTTATAATTTAGAATGTATCATATCACTTACGACTAATTTCAAAGAGTAAAAAAATTTTTGAAAAAAACTGGACAAGAAACGTAGATCAGGTGTTTTATACTTATAGCTCACTTTACTCTCACCAGAGTAGTTACATAGTGGAGTTTTGCGTCAATCAATTAGTAATGCATGATAAATCTTGTCAGCGTATTCAAAATATGATTGAATTAAATGTCTAATATGTAGTGACCACTTAAAGAAAATTAAAAAAAAACGGTTCAGTTGTATCCCCCCCCCCCCCAAAAAAAATATACATTTACGCATACGCACACAGCTGTAGAGTACTAGGGTGAAAAAGTCCAAATCTGAGTCATATCTTAAATTATTGTTTTCTAATTAAATTCCAATTTTTGGTTATAAAACTGTTTTTATTGATTTCGTTGATTTCGTTAGGTTAAAAGGGACGTCTGGCTACTCTATTAAAACATCTTATTTGTTTCTAAAGTATCAATGTGGTAGTCAATAATTTTTTTTTTATAAATACATAGTACATACTATTGCGGTGTTTGGATTTTATATTACATTATATGATTTTTCACATTTCTTCAATAACGTCATTATATTTTTCAACGATCTGTTAAACTATAATATTAAGCTGCTAAAGGCTAGAATCGCAGTAAATGAGACAAACCGATTTTTGAATTTGGATGTCACCTTTATGTCTTTATTATATGTTTTAATTTAGTGAACATTAAATTACCAAATCTGCAATAGGTAATTAAAACAATTTGAAAAATAATAAATTCATACAATTTTGTATACATATTTGGCACCAATTTTTAGTTTGTGAAACCAAACTATAGATACAATACTTTAATGCAATATACTTATATAATATATAACTTTATTCAATCTAATAATATATAAAATATCGAATAAAAATATCCTGAAATATATTATAACCAATAGATTTGTAGTTTTTTTAATATTTAATTAACTAACCAATTAAACACTGTTTTTATTTTATATTATTAAAACTCAAGTAATATATTAGTAAACATTATTGAGAAGTTTATGATTATTTATTTTAATCTTTACTGTTTAGGAACAGTGGGTGAGCTTGAGGTCTATGTACCTTAAAAACACCATAATAGTTTCAATTAAAATTTAAAGCTATGACCTTTATGAAAACATATTATACTTTCAGGTCAATGAGCGCTTATTTTTTAACCAGAACACTTTTAAATGTTATATAAAGTTTTCATATGAGAACCGATTAATATTTAAGCGACTTTAGTAAACCTGCTGGGATTTCACTAGTAAGGAGAAATACAATTTCATTTTTTTTTTTTTTTTTAATACCGTGTACTAGTAATATTATGTAAAATATGATTTAATGATCAAAACGTGTAACAATAAATATATTATTAAAAATTATCGATATTTGATTTTAAAACAAAATACATGTCTGTGGTAGAAATATGAATTAATCATTTATTTATAACTAAAAATAACGTAATTCATTGATCCCTTTAATATTTCTAAACTTCATTCCAGTTAACTCATTTTAAATACAATTTTTTAAAAAATAATCTTAACCATTGTTGTTATTTAATTTCAATAGTCATTACTATTCGCAGTGGCGTATTTTCAAATTTTTCTGGGGGGGGGGTCCTCAGTAGTTGGAACAAATTGTAGAAAATCTTCGTGTAATTCATAGGATCTTAAATCGATATACCGAATGCAAATAGACACTTGTTCGAGACCGGCTATATCTGCAGTTTCATCGACAAGAACTGTAAAACATTTCGCTTCATTTACTCTAGCTACTATTTTATTGAGTAAAATTGTATTGCATGAATCAATTATAGCATTTTGACTAATAGGACTTGTATATTTTATAGTACCAGAACTTTCAAGGTGTATTTTGAGCGAAGCATCACCGCGAGCTCTAAAGCGTAATAAATTACGAAAATTTCCGTCGTTAACATCATTATTATCAACGGTTAATTTTCCGAAATCACGGTGACCTCGTAGAGGTATATTTTGTCGACCGCATAAGATAATTGTTTCAATAACAGGTGAAATGTTTTTTCTGTTTTCAAAAATTTGTCGTGCCCGAGCAGTGTCTAATTGATTTTCAATAGATAAATGTACGTTTTTTTTTATATCTATGAAATGATCTGCATCAAAGACGGATTGTTTGTGATAATGAAGTGTTACATGATTTTTAAACGTTTCCATTGCATGTTTCCAATTTTGAAACGGTTTTCTAACCAAAGCGCCTAGTGTTTGAGAATTTATGCCAGCTCCTGATTTAGCAAACGCTACACAAAACGTACAAAATGCACCATCTAATTTTGCAGAGTACGCTAACCATGGAAAGGTATGCAACCATCTGTATTGAAATTTTAAATTTTTGGATCGCTTATCTTTACCACTAAATATAACAGTATTAGGGAATTCAAAAGTAGGTTCGGGCTTCCAAATTTTTTTAAGAACTTCTTCTTTCTCTACATCTGTTAACGAGCGGTTAAAATAAAATCCAATATCGAAATTGTTAAAATTATGTTCATTTTCTGTTTCAGTATTGTCAGATTTTTTTGACATTTTGATACGTTTGACATTATTATCTATATTTGGTGAAATTGGTCGTTTATTTGGAGAAGTTACGGAAACTGAAGATTTGTGATGGTCAAATTGTAGAACATTTGTATCATTTGATTTTTTAAAAAATTGGCTTAACGAAGTTTGCTGAGACATAATAAAAGCAATATATTGTGTACTTACTTAATATTGATCAAAATACAATAAACACTTGTTCACTGGTTCACACGTTACTCGTATAGTTGTTGAAGGCAAAATGAGACTAATAGAAAATGTGTAATATCTTATAAAAGCCACTAATTTATATTTTATTATACCTATCCATATATGGCTATTGGCTACACAAATATTGCTAATTGCTATACACACAAATCCATCCATAATCGTTTTTCTGTGTGATAAAGTTTATATTTCAAAGATACGGGTACTTGATACCTATTAATTTTATCGGTTTATCGCACTTCGTATAAGGTCGTTACATAGAAAAACTGTCGTCAGAATAACATTACTATAAATTTATAATACGTCTTATTACTTAAAACCATGCTATTATATTTTGTTCACGGGAAAAAACTATATCCGCGCGACCGAGCGTGCTTACATAAATCGGGTTCTGCAAATATGTAAGAATTTTAGTTTTTTTTTTTTTATGAGAGGTTCTGGGGGGGGTCCAGTACCCCTGGACCCCCCCCCGTAAATACGCCACTGACTATTCGACCAAATTATCTTTAAACCATACAAATCGTTATCGAAAACACAATCAACAGATTACAAATTTCTTATCTCACATATTTTTAATATCCTCAAAACACAGTAAAACGATTACTATAATACTTAGTTTTATTAATTAAAACGTTGTCTCATTTGATAATCTTTTCCAGCTCTGAAATTATACTAATATGATCTTATCTTAAATCCAAATTCAGTCAGCTTAATTTTATTTATCTTAATGTGATGTAAAAGGTACAAAGAGAGATCCCTACGCATATTATATTATATAAAATTACATTAAATGCATAGTAGATTGTTATTGAATTTAGTTGATTTACATTTGTCTACTCCTATCATTTATGTATAATCGCTTAACCTAGTTTCTATTTTGCTACATCTATACTAAGACTTACTGAACTTAATACTAAATTGTGATACACATTACATACATGTTTACTTAACCTAGTTAATAGTTTTAATATTAATTATGTTTATGTAGATATAATATTATGCATGATACAACAATATAAATAATACATACCGAGTTCCATGACATTGTCATATAAAGTATATTACATGAAATCATGTTTCAAAGTATATTCACAAGGATAATTGTTGAAAAAACTATTTTTGTAAATAATTTGACCATAGTAACACCATAGTACAAATTATCTACATTTTAAGTACTTGAATCAGTTGACTCATCAACGCTCTTATTTGATAAGAGTCAAGTATCATCGGTCAATGTTTATTTTACAGTAATAAATCTGTATTCATTTTATTTGTTCATGTAATTTTGCTAAATTCAATATTCTATTGAGATGTTAATGGTTGAACTTGAGTTGCATCGTAATTCATTTTTATAAGTGTATCTAATTACTTATATATGTCATACAATTTAAAAATATAGAAAAAACGAACTCAACGAAGAAAAATAGACAAATTTCATCATCAAATAACTTGGTCACAGCCCTCAGAAAGAGTGTTTTTTTCCGTTCACCAATCATTGCATAATTACGAGATTAATAAAAAAAAAAGTTTTCCAACAAGATTACGGGAATTTTCAACATTCTTAACTCAAATCCCTTTGCCAATAGAAGAAAGCGCTAACCAGTAACCATAGCCTTCGCCATTACACCCCTTCCCTCTGATTGTCACTTAATATATTTCTGGTATCCGTATTGAGTACCAATAAGGTAGTGGGATTTTTTAAGTACGATTCTTATGCTATGCGTTTATTCAAATTTTTATATTTAGAATTTTTAGGTTTACACAATTGTTTTTTAGAATACTTTTTTACGGACATTTAAGGACTTAACGATCGTCATGCGACTGTTTTATCAGCTTTTTTTTTAATTGGTTGCCGGTCAGTAACGTATAATGGAAAAAGGTGGCCACCAATCGTTTTACTTACTCCGCGTCTGCCGTGATTTTCGATTAAATCGTTATCGTAACGTCTTTTGCAAGTGCGTAAAGTGTTGTGCAGTGCAGAAATCTGAGAAAAACGTTATTGCGCTGAATTTTTTTTTACGACTAAAACGTTTTCGTAACGAAATTCCGAAATTCAGACCGAGTATACCTCCTTGTAATATAATATTATATTTAGTAAAAAAGTTAAATTATATTTAAATATAGGTTTAGATACTCGGACAGTGCTCACTTAGCCACTCCCGAAAAAATGATTTAATGTTTTAAAATTATATTTCCTTTTTGTTATCTAAACAGTATTACAACTAATGATATAATTTCAAGAACAGCTATATATTTTTTTTTTACAGAAACATTTTTATTCATACCGCAATATAAAGTATTTATCAAACAAAATACGATAACGTGAACAATCTTTTTTTCTCATAAAATTAAGCACATTCATGGATTTATTTCCAACAAAGCAAATAATAGTAATAATAATAATAACCCAGGTATAACACAATACGTAGGATTAAGAATTTTGGATGAAATAAATATTTTTCTATAGAAAAAAAAAGTAACTTATTAAAACATCAAACAATAAGGTTTAAGTTAAACCTTCTATTGAACATTATTCTATACTAAACAGTAACATTATTGAATAATGTGAATAACCAAAAGCGATTATTTTTTTGCAATTTGTTTAGTGTTTATTTTGGGTTTGAAGTTAGTGGAAAATCGTAATGGAATACTAGCAGTGAATCAAAACTTGTGTTAACATAATTATTATTTAGAGTATCTATTGTTGGTATTTCATTGCTGAGAAAAAAAAATGAAGTTATAAACCACAAAATCATAGTTCTTAAAAAAAGCATTGCAATATCAACACATTTTTGGAAAAATGATGTGATAAATATATTAAACACTGAAATTATAACTACACAATGAACTATATGTTTTTTTGTCCATCTGATATATTATTAGCATTGTATACCTATATATTATGTACAACAATAGTGTCAGACACTTTTACTTTAAACATAAAAAAAAATTATATATATAGTAAGTACAATACCTCCTAAAAATGTATCATCGTATTTTATTATATTACCGTTGTAAATGATTGAATGCAGTTAAACGGTATTGCTTAATGCATTTTTCGTAATCCGCCAATAGTCTATTTAAACTCATTCTCAATGATATAACCTTAAAATAATTAAATTTCTGTTAGCTCTCAATGGTCACCATGCAGGTACGATAATTTGTACGTGTGAAGATAATAACAAAATTTATATTATTAACATTGTTTCTTTGTTTGCGCGTGACGATTCTTAGTTCATCGTTCACGACTCACGTGTGTCTAGCTTAGTAGCAGCAAGGAACCGGGATAGAAAATAGACTAATTTAAAAACATTCTGATTTGTCGGCAGTTCATAAGTGAACGTTATATCGAACCCATTGTACAACACGTGTACCTAAGTATCTTTATATAGAATCATGTAAGCGATATGTTCACAAGGATGAAAGGAACAAGAAGAGTAAGACACTTTGAAACTTGCCTCCCAGTGATTAATATCCGTAATAAAGTTTCGCGTGTAGGCCTTTCTACTCTATCTTACCCGGATCTGGATCCGCCACTGGCTGTCAGGTCACAAGTCGTCGATATGTGTTTCATTGGAACACGAACACTAATTGCATTAATACTGTGCATAATTATGTTATGCGTCTAAATTCAATTTAACAATTAATTTATAACAACATAATATTATATTTCCACAGTATTCTGATTAAAAATTTCACATTTGTAGACAGATTAAATTAGGCGCTTGATACTTTGTGTAGACACGTGTTATACTTCAATCATTATGCTGTCAACCAGAGATTAGGCCGACGTCATCAAATAATTATTTGCTCTTTAAAGTATATTCGTTGATACTTGGTATTAATGAATTATTGGCGTCACGATTATCTATGACTCATCGGCATCTACCTTTGCATTAAATAGTATAGCTGTTCTATAGATGCGGATGTTTGTAATGAATTATACATATGAAAATAATATTTTTAGAAGAAACTGTTTTTGCACATTTTTATGGAGTATTAAAATATAAAAACGTATTATAATATATACTACCCATAGAAAATGTTTAATTTCTTCCCCCTCGCTTACTTCAATCGGTTTGTTAATAACGCGTGCACATTACAATAATTTTTTTTTAATATAATTTTTATTTTCAAGCACTTTTATTACAGTTTGACGATAATGACGAGTTATTATTATTTTTTATATATAAGTGTATACTTCAGTTATATATACGAGTCTATACGAGTTGTCCGAATAATTTACTATTAATCTTTTCATCACTTTACACCCCATCGAACACGGCAATTTTTTAGCTTTATATAGACATATATTTTTTTAATAAGCGAATATAAACCTTATTGTACCAAAATGTCTGCATAACATTTTTGACCCCATTTTTAATGTCGCGCTGTTCCCCACGATACACATCACTGCATTTTTTAAATTAACGACTATTCAAATTTCCCCAATATTATGATATAATTATATAGATACAATTCGTCAATACATTTGTTTATGAATTTAATTAATTAGTGTGCGCTGAAAAGAAACTGACACATGGAAAATGTTCACAATTTTAAAGTGAACGAAAACTACAATAATAGTTACCTAAGTAAATAATAAAGAATAATATAAAATTATACATTGCAATCAAGATAATATTCATTATGTGTGTGTTCTAAAATTATCAAACATAATAATATATTATATCACTTTACAAGTTCAATTTATTTCAAATCCAAATTAATACAGATAATAATCAAAATCCAAACCGAGATCTAAAATTAGCCTGAAACTGAATAATTAAAATGAATAGATGTGAAGTTGCTTTGACTTGTATGTTTGCTTGTAGATAGACATGATAAGCATATTATCCCTGATAGCCAAAATAATTAATCAAATAATATAACTTTGGACGTCACAGAAATAATAGTTTACCTTCTAGCCTTCGTATGCATAATCGTTAATTAACTATGGTTGTACTGGTATTACACAATTGAATGGCTTATTTTTGATTTAGAATTCTTTACAATGATTACTTAGACACCTATACATAGGTACAAGTCTTTTTTGATATACAATAACCAATGGATTTTCCTTTACAATTACAACACAAATTGATGATTTCAAGACATACATAATTCCATGATAACATTGTATTATAATATATTAATATGGTACTTATGTATGGTTTATCAATTAAAACGGTAATTTTTTTGTTGGTTCTACTGAATTATAAAAATTAATTCAATTCATGATTTGTCGGCAATTTAATAATTACACACATAATTTGTTATAATCGTAACAGATTGATCGGGTAGTAAATTATTAGTGTTAGTGTAAGTACGCAGTTATTATTAATTTAAAGATACATGAGTATCTTTCGTAAGTAATGAATCATCCCGTAGACTATGGAACTTATAATGCGGAAGTGTCTGAGATTCATGTGGGTTACTCGGGTGTAAACTACAATAGTTAGACGATCCGAACATACCT